ATATATATATATATATATATATATATATATATCGCAACTTAAGTGTTGTTCCATTCAAGCTAATAAATCAGGTAGTATGAAATGAGCAAAAATATACGCGAATGGCTGGACTCGAACCACGGTGGAGCTACCAAAATTTTGGCATCATTCACAAGAACGCGACTTCGGACTCTGCTAGTGGGTTCAACCGACGCATTATAACAGTTGGTCTGGCAGATGAGCAAATCAGTATGGATTAGGTCGCCGCCGAGTGCTATTGATTCGATAAACGCATGACCACCGGTTCGAGTCTAGTCCCCAAAAGTTTGCTACTACACTCATGCTAAGTTCACTTGGGCTTTACATCGACGATCTCGTCATCTATTTCACAACAATCTTAACCAATAATTTTTCGGGACTTGGTCGATATCCACACCCGACCCAATCAAGCAATAAAGACCAACATATGAATTCCACCAAAAATGCACCGGCAACCACTTGAAAGTCAAGTAGCTAACGTAATGTAGAGAAGTGTCATTGTTGTCAGAGTGCCCACCCGGGAAGCAGGGGATCCTGATTCGATTCGTTATAGGTGCTGTTCTTTCGTTCAGACTATGAATACTATCACATCAAATCCAGCATTTAATGAATTCCATCTTAATTTACATCGGCTCTGAAACCGCTGCAACGATTAAAAATCTGGCGACTTCACAAGCATTCCTGCAGTGCATTATGGACAAAGTAAAACTGTGATGTGAAGAGAGTTACAGTTCGCAAAGTTCCATCGAAGTGGATAGCAGCACCCAACTACGACTAACACTACGTCACCTAAGAGGGTCGTGTCGTCCAATATCCATGACGCTGTAGTGCGTGAGACACAAGTTTGTGTCCTATCAAAATGAACGTCAAGAAACAAAAGTCGACTTGGGTCCAGCTGCTACAGTACCTGCGGATGGTCATCTAGTCCGGTTTGGTCACCCAACTTGGTGACATTTGAAAGACTATTGGCACGCCAAGCTGATGGCCCGTGATCACTAACTCAGCTCACCAGTAACCACTTCAAATCGTAGTAGGTGAACGAGAGGCTTGAAAAGCTAACAAAAATCACCAATTCGTCCCAACGAAACTCACCTGTAGTAGACTTGAAATCAACAGTTTGTATGCCTGACATCAGTCAGTATGGTGTCCTGTTACAGTCAGGCGATACGATGGGAACTATGCGAGTCTGAACTGTCCACGCAAAGGATCAGTCTTCGTAAGTGAACAACACAGCCTGGTCGGGCCCGATAGGTCCGCATCAAACTCTCATTTGGTAGTTCAAGCTATGCAGACGATCAGATTTTGTTTCCAATCCCACTAGGAAGCGCAACCCAGCTTAATGTGCATTCCGTAGCGTGGACAATGAGTGCGCATTTTTTGGAAAAGAGTCCGATCATAGCGAACAACAAACTATTCAAGTATGTCGAGTGGGCATGTCAGGCACGCCTGAAATAGGCTCCACAAGCGCGGTGGCGTTAGGCAGTGAACAGCACCAGCGACAGGAAGGCCTAACAGCTACATCCCACAGAAAATTCCTTTTTTTCGGTGCAGGTTATGATAATCTGTTCAACTTAAAGTGATGTTCTCGGCAAAAGCATGGGAAATTCAAAAGCAAAGGTAGTGTAATTTTTTTCTCATTGTCAACAAGTTTCATAACTGTAGTTTTCCAGTCCACGTTCTCGCAAATCTAGTATTTGTTCTAGGTTTGTTCACAAGTGCGTAGTAAAACGCACAGCACATGAGATTATCACAATGATGTTTGAATTATCCCGGGGTTCATCCTAAATTCTTAAAGAAGAAAAGAGGTGCTCTGAACCAGAAATGTCAGATTCTGAATGACCGGAACTCTGTTAGGCGGTTTGGGCGTACCATAGGGGTAACTTCATTTGACAGCCTAATGGAACTGGAGCATGGAGCAAGAAAGTTAACTTTTGCATGAACAGAATTTAACTGATAATTCCCTGACTGCTAACCACATTAGTTGGATCGATCAAACCATGTCAGAATTAACCAAACGTATGACGTTTCACGGAGAACAGGTCACTTTGTACTGAACGGAGGTATTCTTTACCTTTTTTGGATATACAAGATTGATAAGGGAAGCTTCTGTTTCCCACAACGGAATATTTTACTATCTGTCGAGACTGGGAGAAGCAATCGTTGATACCACACTCTTCCACCCAAAACACAGGAAGACAGTGGTCAGGTTGGGCTTTTGAGAATGCTTACGAAGGTTAATAAATAGAAGGGGCGGAGAAGAGAGCAATAGGATAGAATGGAACTGGAAGCAACAACGAACAGCAGGGAATGATAAGCCATAGTAATGGCCAGCAAAAACGGGTCCAGACGCATAGGTGTACAAAACGGCCTAAATGTGATCAGAACAATCATCATGACAAGGGAAGCTCCGTGAGTACAGCTCTTTTCTTCCAAAGAAGCCAAAAATCTGGCTGCAGACATTAATGTCTGTCCGGAGGCCAGCCGCTCTTAATAAACGGACACCACTTCGATTGGACGGATGTGTCACATGCAGGTTGCGGACTAAACGAAGGCATCTCTTGATTAGTCAGTGTCAGCCAATCTGGATCGAGCATCTATAGCTCGACGCTTCTCGCCCCTCACGAAGATTCTAGCGCAACCTTGTAGAATATTCCACGATAACCCTATAAATATGGCTGTAATAATCTTCTTTTGTCCCCACAAGGGGCCGTCTCACGCTACCGAGCTTTTTGACACACCATAATAGGCGGAGCAGGAAGCTAAGGACCCACACAGAAGTTGCACCACCGTCAACAAATCACAACGATGTCCAAATGGAAGAGGGCTGATAGATCGGTCGCATAGAGTGTTGAACACGTAGTGCTACTAATCATCTTAGTGGCACATACTTTGTGT